GTGGGGGGGGGGGGGGGGGGGGGGGGGGGGGGGGGGGGGGGGGGGGGGGGGGGGGGGGGCCGCCATTGGAACTCCTTGCCCTGAGCGCCAATATGCCTAGAAACGGCCCTGCTCGGAGTGTCGCCTCTAGTTACACACTCTATGCTTCGAGTGCATTTGAGCAGGTTTGGCCAAGCCTTGGGAGTGGCTGGCCTAGGCAGGAATTGCGCATGCTCCGACTCACCTGCGACAGGGGAGGCCCCATAGAGTGTATATCGATGTCTCTGGCTCTTCGCTTCCTCGAGACTTACAAGTGCTTTCGCCATCTTGGTGAAGTCTCACACGTGGGAATGAATAGCGTGATTGGTTGGGTTCTCGCGTGGAGGCCCCCAGGCTTATAGCTCGGGGAAAGTTGCCTCTTTTGCCCTACCCCGCTCCATGTGTCTGTTATGAACTCCTTGCTCGTGCGACTTCAGTTAGATGGTGGCTGCGCCTGGAAGGGTGCAGCGCCATAGCGGAGGCCCGGATCGACTGGCCCGTTAGCAGACGGTATTCTCCCTGCCTTTTCTCATGTCATCGCTTCCAGTACTTAACCCTTTAATTCTCAGAGGAAAACTACTCCCCGGCACCCATAAACACGCACGGCCCAGAGGTGGATGGAGCCACCAGGCCCGAGTTCGTGCTGCCATCTATGCAACGTGCGCGTCACACGAGTTAGTACGAAATATGCTCACTAGGTGGCACCACGGTCCAGCCGCATGCCTTTTTTCTGGCTTACGCTGGTGCAAGCTCATCACGGACACATTATTAAATGTGCATGTCGTGTGTGTTATCATTGCTGTATATGATAGATTTACAGGACCGCACGAGGAAACTTATATGACATATTATTAGAATATGCTAAAGTTACACTGAATATTGTTAATTGTTTCAATTATACCTTTGCATTCGTATACGAGAGTCGCTCTTCTCTGATTTCCATAGAATATCAGTCAATACGAAGTGCTCTGTGGCGACAGACTTTAGAGAGTCTATATCGAGCAAATCGTTTCAAGCAGTTCAGTTTTGCTTGTTCTGCATCGAAGCAGGTACACGTGGGGATCTTGGCATGCTGGCTAGATGCCTATTGCCCGAATGATGTCAATATGCCGCTAAAAAATGTTGTCTTGGTTCGTGCCATTTTGAATCGACCGAGTTTTCCCCTTAAAACTTTTTAATCGACTCGATTGATGAAATGCGAAGGGAAAGGGAGAATTCGTACGAGGAGATCCCCATAATCCCGAGCGCAGATCTGTCCAATTTCGACCAACTGAGCCCCCAAACTTTCCCAGCTGCAATGGCAACGTCAACGAAACGCTCTCGGCTTTTTCTCCCTCCACCGACCTGCTAAAAAAAGTATTCGAATAAAAAAAAACATGGATTCGTATCGACAGCTGTTTGTCTGGAACCGTTTCATTGCAAGGCGATCACCCGCTAAAACCGACATCTGCACCGGTTGCACTTCTCAACTTCAAACCTTCACGATTCGAAATTGATAACACTGAGAAAGATATTGGAAACGGTCAGCTGTGCAGCCTTCACTTCCGATCGTGTTCGAGTTTCATCCCTCTTACATGGACAATGCTCCAAGATTTGGCGAAAGGACCCATACGATATGAATGTTTCTCAGAGATTTAGACACGTAGAGCAGTGTTCTGCCATCACTTCAAAGAACATGATAAATGCTCGAATTTGAGAAGATTGACAATAACATCAGTGTTCAACAGAAATTGATCAAGATGAGTTCCTCTCTGTCCATGCATCTTCACAAATGCAAATTTTCGTTTCATGCCTTGTATAAAGGGAGGCAAATGAAAGGCACTTCCCGTGAAGACATTTTATTCTGGTAGCAATTGCCCACAAATTTCATGTTGCCTCTGAATGAATTTTTTTCAATTCTATATAATAGCATCTTCTATCTAAGGAACGGCAAGACACGAGGAGGGGAGGAATGAAATGCACTCGAGGAACAAATACGTTCACTTTTCTTTGAAATAAAGGAGTCCTGGATAAATTTAAAATTATTAATATCAATCACAACCAAATACATGGGAAGAAATCAAAATAAAATAGAATGGAGTCACAGAAATTCAAGAGAAGAAAAAGGGATGAAGATGGAAGTAGAAATGGTAAATACTGATGAACCGATGGTCCAAGGCTGTTCTTCTCATGCCACGAAACGGTACCGCATCGCTTTGGCAAGGCGGAAGGGAAAGCCAGAAACAGGTCCACCTTGAACACATCTTGAGTCCATCTCATATCACACGCCCATGTATGCCTCACAGAAGCTGATATGAAGGGGTTTCTTCTGATACGAGGGGATCAGGTGGGAGGTGGACGGCCGGGGTAGACCAACAGGGCGCCCCCTTCTATCAATTTCTGCAGGAGAGAGGGGAAAAAAAAAGTGCATAAATATTTGTAAATCTGGAAGAACTTGACAAAGAAAACCCGTGCAGAGCTGGTCATTGTTTATGATGATACCTATGTGTAGTGCATTTGTTCAAGCCTGAGGTTGGAAGAGATAAGCAAAGGAAACAGAGATCCAACCACCCAAGGTTTGAGCAGAAGCACCATGGCTCAAATGCTGAAACCTCCTTTAGTTAATGGTCCTTTAAGAATACATGGACTCCTATGGGGGGGGGTGAGAGTTCTTTAGCTTAAAGGCTGCTTTATCTTGCCAAAATGAGGTTTGTTCATTTGGGCCTATGTCATTACTATCAATCTGTACATGATGGTCCCTTTAAACTTATATTCATACATGTAATTTCATTATGGAGGCAACCTGGACAACCCTCTTTGACAGGTTTGAACATGAATGGTGTATTTCCATTCATGCGAATGGAAATACACAATTCCAAGAAAAAACTGAGTGTTTTCCAAGCTTGAGAGTATATTGTCCTCTCTTTCCTCATTCATTGCTTGAAATTCTGTGCACTGATCATGACAATATCCTCATGGTTGGAAGGTCTCTTAGTTCCCCTTGATTTAGGATATAATACATGACGACTCGTAGGAGTGTCAATTGAGGAAATTTGGAAATCAAGAAAAGATGGAAAGGAACGTCCTGTCTGCCCCTTCTCCAATGTATTTTTTTTTTTGGAATGGTGTGATAACATTGATATGGTGACAATTATACAGAGAAAATGTAGTAAACAAATATCCAGGGAAAAAAGAAAAGCAACTGAGAATGAAACATTCAGCTATGACAGGCTGACTGTCGTACATGAAAGTGGAGCACCGGCATACAATGCAAAATATGACAATACATTCTGGCATCAAAATCAGCATTCACTTATTGATTCTTTTCAGTATCAAAACTTCCATATGACATTAAAACCCGAGGAATGCTTGTTTTTGGCAGTGGCCTCTGAAGTCCTTAAGCATAATGCAACTCTGACCAAGAAAACTCCACATCCCTTCATTATCACATAACAGACATGAACATGGACTCATTTCCTGCAAGGATTTCTTCAAGATGACAAGGAAAGCCACAACCAGTGTCACACTATAAAATATGCTCACCTGCAGAGAAACAGGAATGCCACGAGACGAGGGAAAACAGGACGACAAGGCATCGGACGTTGGTGGAAGGAGAAAGGAGAGGAAGAGGTTGATGATGATGAGAAGGGCAGTGAAGAGGAAGGATACGATGATGACGATGCGGATCCGCTCCAGGGTCTCCTGCCCGTTCCAGGGCCAACACTGATACACTTCCTCACACCATTTCTTCACTCGATGCCTCCAGTGGCCTCCTGGCCTATCACTCCCATGCCTAGCCATGAAAATCAAAAGTTCTCATGACACAACTGTTTGAATGATTCTCTTTGCTGCTCTCATGCATGAAACCTTTGCTTTGCTTACATGATTCATTTAATTTCATCTACTTACGTATGACGGCAGTCCAACATCATGAATTCAGGATGAATGGAGGAACAAAATATATTGATTGAATAAAAAAAAGAAGCAGGAAGTGTGAAACTTCACTTGCTTAATTTAAAATGTATGGATTTTTACATTAACTATGGTATCCTTATTTGAGAACAAAGTTCTGAGAAAATGAACCAGGCAACTCATTTTTCTTTCCACAAATAAACTTTACTGGAGTTACCTTAAAATTCAAAACAAGAACTAATGTCCCTGATAGACTTCAGTTCATTTTGTGTCTGTAGGTGCACCTTTTTTTCCCTGACACCCTCCAAACTGAAAGTTTGGAGAGTGTCAGGGAACTGAAACTGAAAGTTGGATAATTTTCTAATTTCTTCCATATTGGGATTCTGTAATTTCTGAAAAGGAAGGGATTCCTTTGTTAATTGGAGATAAAGCATCCTGAATCCAACCCAAATATACTCAAGTTTAAATCAGCAATGACCAGATGAAAGAAATCTTCTTAAACCATCACTTTATGCAAAACAATTCAGCCGAATGGATGCACAGTGGCCGTCACACAATGTGTCTCCAAACTCAAGTTACAGTCAAGTTGTCACTACAGTAATACCTCACTATATGCTTGGGATGTGTTCCTGAAACACTGAGTGGATTGGGCAGTAGAGTCATTATGTATAACAAGCATAAAACTGAAACAGGCATGTTGAGAAACAGCATGTGGTGAGATATTACTGTACTGGAACATCAACTCTACAGGAAGATGCAGCTTATATATTTTTTGGATGGCAATGCCAAAATATTTTGTGCATCATTATGCTATTAGTATTAAATAAATTAAAAATCTATAGTTCTCTGCCAATGGGACTATATGGTGTTCTTCCAAGAGCTGATTCTTAATGTTTGGTAAGAATCTGAAATAACCAAGATACACCAAGACTCAATTAGATGCTTTCCATTGCTGCCAGCATGAGTACAGGCTGTACTACAGACAACAAATCCATATGCCTCTTCTCATATGCAGCTGTTGATTCATTGCACTGCACTGTACAGGGTGCCCACAAAGTCCCATCACACGCTTTCTTCCTACAATGCATTCAGAAACAACTGAAACATGTGGATCAACGATGATAATCCATTATCAGCTGTTTATTCCACACAATGAAGATGATAATTGCATCCAGAAGTCCAGTGAATTGGTGTGAGTACCTTAATTTTCATGGTCAAATGTGGCAATGGATCATTCTTTGCCAGGAATATGATGGCACTCACACTTATCCTGCTGACTTCTAAATGCAATTATCATCATCATTATGAGGAATAACCACCTGATGATGAATTATCATCATTGTTCCATATGTTTCAGTTGTTTCACATTGCACTGCAATGAAAGCACGGGGGTGACAGGACTTTGTGGACACCCTGTACAATTCATGCACAAGCTCTGAAAATCCCAATGGCACAACTCTCATGACCTCATTTTCTGAGATGTGAAACTCATCCAGACAAAAATGCCTGGGGCTAAAGAGGTCATAGGGTTCATCAAGTGGCACAGCAGTTGAGAAATTCATAAATAAAATATTTAAAACTGCAATGGTACCATCTGGTACCACAAATCCTCAAAAAGCTTTCTTTCAGGCTTTGCTTGCAGCTTCTGATGAAAAATCAGCAACAAATCAGGCATAGGAGTTCTGAAATTAGTTTCAGAACCTCTACTATGATATTGACACCTGTTACCAGAAATCAAAAGCTAAATTACTTAGAAACATCAAGTTCTTTCATCCATGTGACTTCAGAAGAAAACCTTCAACAGGTTACATACAACCCTCAGAAATGGTTAGGGGAGCAGAAAGGCTTATTTGTTTTGCAAGTAGTTGTGCAATGCGACTAGCATCAACCTGAGACAAAAGGGACCTTGGCTTCACAGTGATGCAAAGCCTGAATCATCTTCTATAATCGCATTCACCTTTACAAATATCATTTGCGATCTTGGAACATAAATCCAAGCTTGGAATGCATAACCAGGGGGGATCAATCACATATGGAATATCAATTCCATGCAAGACCACTTGGATGGCAAGTTTTTTATTTTTTTTGGCACGGAGTTTTTGCATTGTGACCCCAGCAGAGTGGTTTCTGCACTCTTAATGACGTGAAATCATGGCAATGAATCAGACATCTAATTCAAAACTTTGCTTCAAAAACATAAAATGGAACAATTGTAGTTCTGGAGAGAGTTCTAATTTCACCTTGTCTTTCCAGAGTCATTACTTGCTTGCATGAGTCTTTCAATTAGGTCAAAGAAAAGTTCTGAAATTTGGTAGAAATGCAAACTACATGTTACTAAGAACTGCAATATTCCCGCACTGAGAATACATGGACTCATGAAATAGTTATTACTTGGCTGAAATGTTCCGTTTTCTAGAACTCTTCATTTCCAGGAGTGTTGTGAGCGAAAATCCACATCAAATGACCTTTCAGGAAGAGCCTGATAATACTTCATATCACACTCAATCCAAGAATGCTGAGAACCCAAGGCAATGAACTAAAAAAAAATACCTAAAAGATATACAGATACAAATATTGTATACATGCTGCCATAGACATTAAAAAATGCGTATTAATGGAACAGTTAACTGCCATCGATGCAATGCTAGCAAGAGACCTCATACGTCGGAAGGTACGGATGACTCCATCACACGTCCCCTTCCTCATTCACGTCACGCAACCGACCTTAGAAACAGCCTAAAACTTCCTAGCACACTCGAACAGAACAAATCGACACAGCAAAAACAGGATTCTGGAACCCCGCCCTACCTCTGAAGATCACCAGAGGGAGGATGCGAAGCGGGGACGGACGCATTCGCCAGGTGCGGATGGGGGACGGCGCCCGGACCAGCCGCGCCGGGGGAAGCGGATGCGGAAGGGGACTCCGCCTTCTCCGCCCCTTGACTAGATTCCACTCCGACTTCATCTCCTTCCCTGTTGCATTCATCACATACAAATCACTCTTCAAGACCCACTGTCCTCTAATACAATCAACTCTTTACTGCAAGCAGGGACGTAGCCAGAGGGGGTTTCCTGGGTGTCTGGACACCCCCCGAAAACAAACAAGATATCATGAAACAAGGGAGTGGGGGAGGGGGGCGAAGTTTCACAGCTGAAGTTTCGACTTGCATTCCTATTCTACCTCCTGAATACCATCACTCTAAACCAATACAGTGTCCCCCCCCCCCCCCTCCCACATTGCTTCTATTGCTCTACCAGTTTTTTTAGTTCCGGTAGCGAATCATGATTCAGGAGTAGCTTTCTCCCACTATATTGTGACTAATTCAAGGTCAGTCCTTCACCCATATCTCTTTTCATGCAAAAAAAAAGTTTGACAATTTGGGAAGAGAAGGGGGCTATTTTGAACTATAAGGTGGGTGGGGTGAAGTCTCAAAAAGGTTTCCGAAGTTATCCTCATTCCTCCCAAGCCCTCACCTTCCTCGGCCACTTTGTCATCTCATGAGCCTGACATCCTCACAAGACACTCCCCGAAATTAATTCCTGGCTATGTCACTGACTGCAAGGTGTTCCCGATCGGGACGAACATACATTTGTTTTTAATGCAAACAGGTTACCAACAGGGAGCACGTTGAAAATATTGGGTCAGTACCATACCAAAGAAAAGACCGTAGGCCATCTTTTATCTCAATGTATATCCTTTTTAAAATGTTATATCCTACGCCTTTAAAAATCTTTGTCAGACACATTTTCATTCATTCATCTTACATCTTCTTCTGGCATGTCAACAATTTCACCTGCTTCTGTTTCTTTTATTCCATTTCTCCCATTTTTGGCAAAATCTTAAAGCTGCAATAAAACAATCTAATTTTGGCAATTTTAACAAAATATCTCCTTCGGTGCCTTTAAGAAAAAATGTGAAAATTTAAATGTTTTTCAGGGCTTTCATATATTCTACAGTAAAGGATAAACCAGCATAATAATGGTAGGACTGCATTACAGCTCGAGGGTTGCGAAAAGTTAAAGGAGAAGCGAAAAAGTTTTGCTTCTGTCCACAGTCGCTGAAAAATTCTGAAAGAAGTGAAAAATCCTGCAAAGCATTCAGTCAAGCTTTCCAAATCTACATCGGTAGTGCAAATAAAAAAAAACCGCAAGGCGAGAGCACCGAGCAGAGGAGACAACAGTCCCTCGTTTTATTCTTCGATCTCTCCCATCCCCTTGCCTTCTTCGTTTTCCCCTGACTTATGCAATAACTTCTCGCCTCACAATAAAGCACAGATAGATATGAACTTCAGATGAATTAGTGCAAGGAGAAGAGTCGTACAACCTTCAGAGGGAAAAGCTGCAAGGGTATTACCAAGTAAGTGAAGGCGATAACCAACCTCCAACCAACTTCTCGAGCGAGGCAATGCCGGGACAAATGACCCATCCATACTGTACACGAGCAAACGACGCGTCTCGATGACTGACTTCGCGACACGGTGGGCTGCACCTCCATCCACAACTCTGCCACATCATTCCCAGGAATAAAGCCCTCATGCACTGCAGTCTCCCATGCCATTAAATGTTCCAAGGATAACCCCCCCTCCTTCTCCGCACAGCACATCCTGAGCACGCTCGAAAATCTTCCAGCATTTCGGCTGGATTCCCTGCAGTTTCATATTTGGCAAGTTGAAAAACGTTCTTCCGCGACTCGTGCCACAGACTCTCGATCAAATCCGTTTCATCTCGCAGTACCATGCACTTCCATCCGAGTCAAATTTCGAAGCGACCCTTAACTTTTTCTCCTCCGAGAAACTACGTCTTAATGGGGTTCATGCAAGCTCATGCAAGACATCACGACGGAAAGCACAAGGAACGAACCGGAACGAAGAATGGACCGTCTTCCGAGGCGGGCTCGCTTCCTCTCCGGGCGCGGCTCCAGCAGCTCTGAAAAAGGGACGGGAAGACACATTTTCCTCGTGCCGCACGGACTCGATATCATGCGATTACGACCCGATAATGATCGATCAAATATTAGGAAAGACACCCCATCCATCATTATGGATGATGGAATGCGGATTACGCATTCCAGACACGCAATGACAGCAAAAAAAACGATGAGCAAAACGCTGTTTTACACGTCATGACACCGTCGCCATCGATTACGAAACTATGATGACGACAACCATTGACTTAAAAAAAAATTATCGCTATCGCGAACTCAAAGATCGACGGCAATAGTTTGCCGATATCATTTGAGCTTGGAACGGGTTGAACAGGGGGGCGAGCGAGGGGGGCAGTGAAGCGGAAAACGAGGCCTGCTCGTAATAAAAGATCATCGTCTCCCAGACATGGCCATAAACGGGGATGGATGACCCTCATCCCCACACCTTTTCATCCATTACGACTCGAGATCCACTCATCACCGCACACGCACACGCATTCGGCCTTTCACAGCCTCGAAACGATCCCTAATGACCCAATCACCGGACAGGGAAGCGGCGCTCACCCGCTGGCGTCCTCTACCACGGCGCTTCGCCTCCCCTCCGCCTCCGTCCCGTCGAGGGTGGTGCCGGCGGGGATCACCGTCCCCGAGGATCCCAGGTTCACGGACGTGCTGCGGGTCTTCGGGGACTTCAGGCCCTAAAAAAGCGAATGCAGGAAACATCCATCCCGGCTACCTCAACAACGATTCAAATGCATGAGAAATGGGCTTTTCGGCGCGACGAGAGCGAGGCGAAGGTAGACGGAACTCGGGAGGGAGGAGGTAAGTAGGACGAAGGGAGAAGGAAGTGAGGGCAAAGAGAGGACGATACGTCCTCCCGAATCGTGCCCGAGGGCTTTCGCTTTCGTCGTCCGTGTAGGGGAGAGAGGCTCCACCGGACACCATTTGTAGAGGAGAAATCATTGCGCTTTTACGAGGGAATCCGAGCGAGGGCTATTATGCAAATACGGGATCGGTCAACCTCGCTCCCCCTCTCTTATCGAGTCCGCGCCCAGGCGAGATCAATGGAGAGCTTTTACTAAAAGTGGAATATTAGACTTTAACTCCCCGTGTTATGGGGGTGCTATCTCGTGAGGAAGAGAACTCGAGGGTATGCTGAGCAATGTCTTCCAAGGGACCGAAGGAATCGCCGACATCTACACTACTATTCAGTCTACTATACCTGTTATTGTAATGGCAATTATTATTATTCCGGAGTTAAAACTCGCCGATGAAAAGAGTTAGGGTAAAATACCTAGTGATGGACCGGTTCCCAATGATAGGCCACAGCACATAAAAATTCAAACAGCTAAGCTTCCATAGCACGCCTACCCCTGTTGTGACATATGCTAGCAGCATGCAAGCACATACACACTTCAGAGGTGTTCATGCTACAAATGCTTAGTTTTTGGAGTTTTCCTGCACTGTGGCCCATCACTGAGTACACGCCCTTAACAGGCCCATCATTGGGTGTTTTACCCTACCTGAAAAAATGGGAAAGATTGGGGCTGCGTCTCAAGGCATATTCGACAAAAACACAAGACATTTAATATAGTAGGCTTTTTTTCTTTTCATAGATCTTTTTTTTTTATCCCTAACCCAACATCCTAACCCGGCACTGGCTCCGGAAGGCCCCAGCTTCGCCCCTCACAAAGTCTCTGATTCTTTCGCCGAGTAATCTGAACACGAAGAGGGCATATTGATGTGCTGGACTCCTTTCAGTCCCTTGATTATAGGTCTGCACAAGAAGATAGTGCACGTTCTCAGTCCTCATCTAATGGCATCACTGACATCTCTCCGCCTCGTACTTAATCTTTTTCTATGCAGACTTCCAATCTCTCTCAGCGTGACTTTCTCCATCGCCGCATACCCAGTCCTTACATTTTATGCCCCGAGGAAATGAGATCGGAGTGCATTCAAACATTCCCGTGCGATGACCGACGCATTCTACGAGGGGGGAGGGAGCCTCAAGAAACTCTTATTAGTAGTCTCTGATTATGAAAAGCATTCGACGTTTCGGATTGAAAGCGAGTTCCAAAATCGCGGGAGTAAAAATATTCTCAATCATCACAACCGGAATGAAAGATATTCACCCTTCGGAGTCCTCGCACTCAGCCTCCCTAACCGCACCCATTAACGGCGGCACATAATTGCGTACGGTCCATAGGGGTGAACATGAATGAGGTAATCCACAAGAATGTTTATAGACTGAGATGGCCCGTAGGCCAGTAAATTCATTCCCTCGCAAGAAGGCTCAGGCGTTTACATCGCTGCTCCTCATGACGGCCGAGCTTTACGACGCCTCATCAAATATGAAACGAACCCGGAGAAATTACGAGGCCAGCTAGCCCCTCCCTTCCAAGGAATTACCACCAACACCTGCTATTGTCATCGCATGCATTCGCCCGCAGACCAAAGAGGAAAGGAAAGGCAGGGAGGTCAGACTTGGAGAAACCCCAGGAAAAAAGAAGAACCTCACCAGCACCTCAGAAGAGAAACAAGGCATAGAGGCGACTCGCGATGAGTCAGAAAGGAAGAGTCGACTCTTCCCCTCCCCTTGCTTCCCTAGCGGTCTCGTGGCTCCAACACTGCCACTGCCACTGCCACTGCCACTGCCACTGCCACTGCCACCGCCACCGCCACCAACACTGCCACCGCCACCGCCACCAGACGTAAACGAGGACGAAGGAGAGATCCCACCGATGCTGGCCCGTCGCCTCTGGGCCCCTTGGTTACCAACCTGCGTTGCACAGGCCCCACCACCACGTTCATCAGTGAAGTGTTAGTAAATAGCCATATATTAGTAAATAGCTACATATTAGTAAATATACGCATGCCATCACTACTGCCCTATGCTAGCGGGAAACAGGAAAGTGCACACTATCCCAATCTTTTATTACGGAATGGCAAAAAAACCAAAATCCAAGATTACTATCGGCAAGCCCCAACCCCGGCATTTTTCTCTCCCAACTCACACCTACCTATACTACATCGCACCGATAATAACCTCTGATGCTCCTAGATAGATAAACATTTCTAGGACAAATTGATTGCTTGCGACCGAGGGACGAAAATTTAACGGGATTCGGACATGCTTCCCTCGCATCGACCCGATTCAACGCTTCACCTCAATGGAGCTCAAGTTAGCCAATGACTTCCCTCGGGAGAAGACCGAGGGAGGTCACTTCCCCGTGACATTGGACTCAAACGCTGAACCTTCTCTGCAGAGCTCTTCCAGAGACGGGACGCACAGGCCTCTTTGTCAGTCTGACGCAAGAGGGTTTTTAGAATAAAAAAAAGTCATGATCCTCTCGCAGTTATATGACACCGATGAAACCGGCTCATTCTTCCCCATCATCATTCACCAGAGGACATGAGAAAATTCCATTCGGAATGCAGAAAATTAGTGAAAATGAGACCCAAGATCCGGTTCTGCGTCCGCAAAAATCAACCCAGTCCGGAAGATTCCGAAGAACTAGAAGGTCCCAGGGTATTCTAGGCGGTCCGATCAAGTCCCTATTTGAATCGCTAGCGAGTAATGCCGGTCATGCATACATGCAAGTTGCATGCTTGAGCATTCCATTCCAAGTCTCGACAATGAGAAACGCGCTAACGAGAACGAACCGCATGCACCCCCGGCCGATGATAAACGAAACGAAAAACAAGACGAGAGGCACGTGGGCAATAACCATCATGCCGAGTTGAAAGCCCAGAAGCACGAGCATGCCAGGGAACACGGCATGTCCAGGATCCTGGCATTCCAGTCCCGATCCCATGCTCCATGGAAAGGAACTCCCGCCCCGTTCCCTGGCCACTCCCCTTCCATTGAGCCAACTTGTCCTCACAACGCCCGCCTCTCGAACCAAGGGAATGCTCGATGATTGTTAATCGTTTACGTTTCGTAACGGGCTCTGCACTGACAGTTCCAGCAAAAAAAAAAAAAAAGACAAGAAAAAACAAAGGGGAAAATAAATGTGCTGTCACCCTGATTTAAACGCAAGCACAGGAAACACGGACTCGGAGAAAGAATCACGTCAGGGCCCAGAAAGACAATAGAAAAAATACAATAAAATAAAAATCTGAGAAAACGAGACGGATGCGAATACCATTCGGAAGGCGTTGGTGGCGATGCTCAAGGCCCTGTACTTGGGGTGGCGGCCCATAAGTCCATCTTCCTTGAAGGAATCTCCCTCCAAGATGATATTGTTCTCGTCCAGGATCCGCCTGAAAACATGTACGGAGGAACGTGGACATGTGCTCTCAAGGCGCCAGTATCTCTAACACGCTTCATCCACATGGCGTACTCGTCAAGTGCGAAATAAGATACAGGAAATGTGTAAATTTAAGGATGGGTCCCACTGTAGACGACTTTTGGTCCAAAAATATCGTCGAGGGATAAGGTAGAGGTAGAGGTCGAGGGAGTTATGCTTGCTTTTCTAATTATCTCATTTATCATTATCTGGCTCGACTGAGCTATAGTTATCCTTGTGTCGACAGCATTTCTTCAGTGACTGAGCCAAACTATCATGATGCCTCACGACAAAAAATTTAACAAGTCAATTATATTTTTTCAAAACTCGACTCAAAAAAGTTTTCAGCAAGGCTTTGGCATTAATACATTTTTTTGCGGAGTGCCACCTGTATGCCAAATAACTAAGTATGCTATAAACATTTTGATGTGTACGGTGCTCCGCCCAAACACCGATAGAAAATACCACAGTCCTGTATAGAAAATGAAATACAGTAGAATTCGGTTATAACGACGAAGAGCGCCAGGTCCCGGCGTAGAGCTCATAAGGTACGTGAAATTTTACCTCGGTCATAGCGCGAACCTCGGTTATAACGAAGTCCATTCAAAGTTCCACTGACGAAATAGACAACGCTGACGTCTCCAATTCGTCATTCTTGGAACGGACACTGGAATTTCCATCATGGAAATGATGGAGTGAGCGAAAGATAAAGTTATGGCAAGCCACAACATCATCTTTCCTGAAATCAGCATTCCTTAGTCATGAGGGTGTGACTGGAGGAGGGCAAGGGAGGGACAATCCCCAGTAACTAAAAATATCATATTCTCTTCAGTCGCCATTTGCATTTCTCGTTGACAACATGGCCAGTGAAAAGCAAAAGTGGCAAGCTTACGCAATTAAGGAAAAAATGCATAATTCGTTTAATAGAAAGTGGGCGAAGTAAAGCTGACGTTTCTCGTGAACATAGACTTCCTAGTTCATCTATTTCCACAACTTGGAAAAATCGTGACAGCGTCATCCGTACTTGGAGAAGAACATGCCACAAAACAAGAAACTTCGAAGATCTGCTCGAGATGACGTCAACAAATCCTTGCTAAAGTTAGTGTGGGCCAATTAGTAGGCCAATGCTTAAAGTGAAGCCAGTGCAGGACGACCGATGTGCACTAAAGTTGTATATAGCATCTATTTTGAAAACAAGGAAACGGAATGTCAATAAGGGCAACCTCGGTTATAACGACGATTTTTCCCTGGCCTCTTCAATGACGTTATAACCGAGTTCGACTGCACAATTAGGATCGCACTCTCCACGAGACGCGGTGCTTCGGCCTGTCAGCCGCAAACCCGACAGCAGCACGTGGCAGGCTACCGCACAAAAAGCACGCAACCCCACGTTCCGAGCAGGCATTTTGGGCCAAACACAACCTGCCAAGGCAAACCCCCCCACCACCACCCTGCCATCCCAAGATGAGGAAAAGAAAAAAGCGGACTTGGTCTCCTCGAGCTCCGTGTGCTCCCGCTGGAACCGTCTCTTTAGGTTCTCCACGTGGGCGATCATGATATCGATGACCCCGGAGACTCGCTTCTCCTGCTCCACCTGACCGTAGCTCTGTATGAGAAACAAGTGAAAAATGTGTATATAAAAACCAGACTTACTCTCCCGTGCGATCCCCTAGAGTATTTTCCCTCATTTAACTTTTCAGTGCAAAATGAGAATCGTACGGGCAGCTGCTACCGTGCCTTCCAGTGCCAGAATTCGACGACTTCTTGGGGCTCGGCTCTTCTGTCATATTCCCCGCTGCCGAGCTCCGCAAAATAAGCAGTTCCATTAAATATATAAATAAATAAATAAATAAAGCAAACTAAGGTAACCCAGTCCAGTAGTGGGCCACCTTTCGATCAGTGCTGGGTACAGGAGGATGTGGCTGCTAGGTTGGGTGGGGATTGCGACGTGCAGCACTGCTAGGCATGGATGGCAACGAAAGCTGGAGCGGAAGTGGTAGCTCTAGTTGGAGATATTACACCTCAATCCAGGCCAAGTGCAGCACATGCGCCTTTAGGTTGAGATCCAGGGAAGCCGACGGCCGCTCATGACTTTCCAACTTTGAGTGAATTTCAAAAATGCAAATTTTACGATAGAAACGTTGCCTTTTGCACGAAATTTTGCCAAAATGAATTTAGTCTGTATCTTGTTCTGACCTATCTGCATAATGATTTTCAGTCATAAAATTTTTTTTAGTTATCGTCCGACAACAATGCGTGCGATAGTCGCACACACAGACAGACAGACACACATACACAGACAGAACGGGACTAGAAGTGGTCTCTTTACTTCCAAGGAAGGAGGCCCGCTGAAAACCCGAAGGCCACCCATCTTCTCATGATACATGAATTCCCCAGGTCAGGCAACTCGGAGTCCATGGTTCCGGTTTCTTTTACAACAATATATTCTCGACATATTCTCTGCCCTAAATGCCATGAAACCTGATTTGCAGTCTTACGTCAACTACACTTCAGATGGATTACTCCGAACAGTGGATAATTGGTTTCAACACTGGATAATTGACATTAACATTGGATAACTAGCTTCAACACTGGGTAATTGGCTTCAAAATTGGCTTATTTCGCTCCAAGCAACAATCGCATCGTGGGCAATGGGACAAACGCTTATCTGCTTTCATCTAAACACAAAAGACATTTTCCCTTGGTTTCCAGGTGACTTCAATTGGGGCAAGTGCTCTCGGCTTGAACTTCCGTATTAGGACTCAAAGCACTCATATTCATATGCAAATGGGCTCATAAAGCCATCCAGGAGGAAGTTAATACTGCCACGTGGAAGATGCGGACCCAAGTCCCACTTCCTCGTCTTTATACTATTCCGGGGCGAAAGTCCTGCCCACACAATTACGTAATCCGTGCTCGACGCGAGAACCAAGCCGGATTCCAAATTTCGTTCAATCACGGGATCTTACTTTCAAGGGCTGTCGGGCGAAAAAAAAATCGAAAATAAGCTACGGCAAAAATGTTACAAAATTCCAATTGAACAAGCACGTTACGGGGGTGCCAAGCAAAAGAACAACCAGCTCAACCCTAAAGTAAAGAGAATTAACACAAATCAACGCAGCGTCAAAAGTCAAAACAACGACTTTCTCACGCAATCTCCATCGTTCTCAAGGCAAGCAGGTCTTCAATCACCGCCAGAACAACGGAAGCTGCACAAATCATCGACACTTTCGCATTTGGATCCATAAAGTATACCCCTCTATCCCACGCAACGACCATGGCGGCAATTAATTTTCTGTTAATAATTATCCGCTGAAAAGACTCGCCGGGAGCACTTTCCCAGGAGTGCAGCCGACCTCAAATGACATTCGGAAGCTCTGAAGAAACGAGCAGGCCCACATGGCTGGTATTGACATATTTCTCTTATTATATTAGCGTCACCTAATTTGTTCCAGGTAATGACCGATGGATTTCCGCAACAGCCCCCAAAATTATACGGAATCGGTAGAATCCCTTTTCTCTGAGGTGAAGTAGCACGCCCATCACCGGGAAATTTATCGCTGCAAATTACATCTCAGAGTGTGGGAACCATGGTTCCATGTATACCATAAAAAAATCTGTGGCTTAGCACGAGGGAAATTCGCCCACACACTGCTACTTTCCGTGCAACCTGGACAACCCATATTTCAATTTTTCTTCCCCCCCCCCCCCACGAGAGATCTTAACCGCTGAATGCATCTCCTACGCAGCTCCGTCGGACCATGGAATAACTTCCTCGACGCAGTACTCATAATAAAATGCATCAGTACCAGTCGAAGGAGCCCCCCACGTTAGTCTCAGAAAAGGCCTGAAAACAGTTCCAGACTCAACTTCACAAAAAATCCCTCCGCCCCTTACTCCTCACCCCACCAGCCTCCTTCCATCCGTCCCCTATCAAGCAGCGAAACGCCTGGGGGGAGGGGCCGGGTATAGCTGCGGGGGAAGCACTCACCTCGGCAGTGCTGGAGATGCGGGAAGCGGACTGCTTGACGATCTCCACCTTCTGCTGGATCTTCGACACCAGCTCTATGCTCTCCGAATTCGTGCACAACGAGAGGACTCTCTAAAAACATCCACGAAAAATGGAGGAATATTATGCAGGTGCTCATAGGGTAAAACAAGACATGCCTCTACTGGACAGGGAAATTTTCAAAACGTATCAATTCCATTAAAAAAAAGAAGTTTCCTTTCGTTATGCGATGCAATAATGCATTAAAAATCCCGAATATTATCTGGAATAATTAAAAAACCTGATAACTTTTCCCGAATCATGACGTTACACAGACCTGACTTGCCTAGAGACCGTTGTGTCGGTAGTTCAACTTCCTGCGGTTACCCCAGCCGGATTTAACAAGGTAATGGAGCTGAAGCTGAACCGCAGTGAGAACATTGCCACATTTCCACATGATCTTTTACGGGTCCCATGTATCCCCTACACCTATGGGGGGGTTTGCCCCACAAAAGGTTCTTGCCTGCATTCCACCAGACAACGATTGCGATGTTCTCTGCAGCCCACGTAATCGGAGTGGAAAACGCGTTCAACACAGGTACAGCTTATGGAGGGGCGTGGATGGAGATCATTTGATAGAGCTGGTCTGCCCGGCATGAAACATGGCACCCCGTGATTAGGCCCATTCAGCGATGAGATAATTAATGGCCAATCCGGGCTATTGATTATTAATGGCAGGGCCGCGCACTCTCCCTCCGACCGCGACCCCCTCCGCCATCCATCACCCAGGGGCTCGTCGTTCCGCGTTGCAAGGAGCAGCGGGATCGTCCCGACTCGGCTCCTCGTGCAGCCGGCGAATATCCTACAATCGTCCCGGCCGTACACGGAGGACTCCACGATCTCGCATCGCTCTCTCGGTTTAATGTCCCTCGACGAGAGCAAGAAAAATAAATTACAACAGATCGTGATACCGTCGCCCTCCTCACGGAACCGTCGTCAAACGATACCTGCACGCCCTGGCTTCGCTGTCGGCCGCACGCGTGGAATGTCCTAGAATGTCCCTCAATGTCACATGAACTCAGACCCTCCCTCCCTGGAGCACTCACAAAAGAAAACAAGGGTGTCCTGCATTCCCTCCGGGATGAAAAAGAGATGATCCACGTTAAACGTCTACATGAGAACTCCCACAAAATCGAAAATGACACAACCACTATTGACACTACTACTGTAAGTAACCTGGCTGACGTAACCCGCAAAGAGTCGATTAACCCGACCAGACTCAGTGATTACCTCGCCTCCGGATATCATCAAGTGGCGACGATCCATATCGCAGATGCTTCACAACGCGAGGCATTCCGATAAATGCAGAATTTGATAGCAAACCCGCCGATTGATGAGGGCATCGTGTCCTGAATCCTCATTTCCTACCCTCGAGCGAATCTGTTTACGTGAAAATAAACAAGAATTACTCGTTTTCTCTGCAAATAACCATGGCTGACACTTTCATATCATCCATGATTACAGTTTCGTCAATTAAAGGAGCCACATCGCCATCGTTGCCGTTTCTGTCAACAGGTGGCAGTGCATCACACGAAAATGGCATATGCCACAGATCCGCATCCACTAATTACGTGCTCGAAAAGAGGGGAGGGATGGGGGGGGGGGGGGGGGGGGGGGGGGGGGGGGGGTGGGGGGGGGGGGGGAGGGGGGGGGGGGGGAGTGGGAAGCAGCACATCGTCCGACGAACGAATGCCAAATGGTTGCACGAGCGAGGCGAAGAATTCCCGACCGGTCCAGTAAATCCGAATCAGGCGAGACGGCGACCAGGCCCGTCATGCCGTCATGACAGCCGACGCCCACCGGAGAATTACAAACGGAGGACCATCCAATGCCACGAAACCTCAGTTTCCACATCGTCACGAAAAGAAACACCTGGTCATGGCAATGAGGTTACCTTGTGACGCGTTTTCAACTACAAGAAAAACTTCTGATACTTTACATCTTCCAATCGCATCCCGAAACTCATTTTCACAATCCAGTCTATATTAATATTAAAAATTAAAAAATAACGGAAAAAAAAGGGGGAAAGGGGAAAAAACCACCCGCCCACCAAGTGCGGCTTCCACGAAGGCCCTCCCAGCCGAAACGAGCTGAAAGAGAAAGATTGCTCCCAGCATGAGCACTTCTATCGACCATTTACCCGATGTATCTTTTTTTCCTGCTCAACCGATGAAAAAGAATAATGCCCTGCCTCTCTCCTACCATCAACTCCACCCCGTCTTCAAGGAACATCGACTGTTGTGCTCCTGTATAAAGCAGAACAGCAAAAAAACTTGTCTCTCCTTTGTCCTTCCTCGCGAACGACTCGAGGAGAGAGGAATTCCGAGTGTCAGAGGTCTGCAATTAACTGCCCTCGTTTCTCGTTCCAAAAAAGTTCCGGTATAAAAACTAAGCAAAAAAGGGGCAGAATTTACGAGGGGGCCCCACTCTCTGGTCCAACACCGGAGTCCTCCCTCCGTAGGCCTATTCCACCTTCTAGGCATGGTCATGTTTTATGAGTCCTCGTGCCATAAACTCCTCTGATGACGTTGCAAACATGGTTGTACCCCCATTTCTACCCCCGAACCCATCATAGTCTCCTTTCTTCTACCCAACCCCATCTCAAAATTACCACCTAGATGGCTAGTTCCTCTACAACGGAAACATCCCCATGCTTCCATTCCCCTCAAGACCTACTCGACCTCAATGGACTGCGTCTGCCGAGAAGTGCTGCGAGAGAAAAGACGGGAAATACCTGAAGATTGGTCACGAGGTCTTGGATCTGCTGCTCCATGTTGGCCTCGGCGAGGTCCCGTTGCCGGAGTTGGATCTCCAGCCGGCTCTCCAGCGTCAGGCGATCCGTCGCGAACGCCAGGGACAGCTCCGTGAAGTGGGACTGCGCCAAGACGCAGTCCCAGGATAAAAGGGGTTAGGGCAAATCTGTGAATTCCGCAACGACTTTGAATTCTTTGTTTCCTTGTTTCACTGGAGCTGACGGCGTCTGTGTGCACATGACTATGTTGTATTATACCTTCAATGATACGTGAGGAAAAGACGAATCGGATGACTCGAAGCACGGAAGGATTTCTCTCATTAGAATTTACAGGGTTCAGTTTTGTCGTTATCATCCTTCCCGACGAGCATTCGGCTAATTCCGCAACCCTTCTGCTAAAGCCGCAACACTATTCTGGGAATTCCGCAACCCTTACTTCTTCCATGCTCCCTCGCCCTTCAAGGGTGAAGTTATTAGTCTTTATGCCCTTAACTTTGGCAATTATGGATAATAGTTCTTCCCATGTTCAGATTTACCAGGAGTTCAGGTATAAAGTAAAAAATAATAAATAAATCTCAACCGAACGAAGCGAAAAAGAACGTCTCCAAGATTCCCTATGACAAGTAAAGGTCGTCTTTTCTCTAGGTTTTTTTTTCGGCGATGGAAAGTGGGGGCCTCAAGGCGTGTTTAAAAGGGGAAGGACCTCCAATGTATGCCAAAAACTATCCTGGTGAAATTATTTTACTTCAAGACAGTGAAATTATCATACTCTCGATTTCCAATGTTGAAACATTATTTGCCAGCCCTCCTCTATTATCATTTATGGTTGTTCGTGGCACTCCATACATTTTGGAGTCCCACGCAAGCCCATCCTGCCAGACTTTGTGGCGTTAATTGCCGCCAAAAATCTTGATCTTTATGCAAATACTTATTGCTTGTCTTATCCTTCTTGCTGATTGTTATTGGCTATTTCCTTCGTCCTCTGGCTCTTGCTGCGTTTTTGGTTTTACCTTTGCGGTTTCACATTTCTTTGCAAACGGCAATAATACTTATTACAGGTAATGATAACTGAGTGGTAACTGAGTGATAAGAGAGCGAAATTAAAAACCTAACCTTAAAAACCGAAAAAAACAGGAAATGTTCCAGCAAGAAGTTACGGAATTCACCAATGGTTCATTTTCCGATCGGGCAATTTCGCAACGTCTGCACTGCTAATACTTAATGAGTTATGCATGTCAATCACCTCTTACTCAGTCCTAAGACTATCAATGGACTGAATGGAGGTGTAATCTACATTGACATGCCCTAAAATATTATTTATAGATAATGTTCGACTCGTGTCGAACAATCGGACTCTTGCTATAGAGTACGGTATTCAGCGAGGAGGAGCACCTTGCTTCCGTTGTCCACACGTCATTAATTACCCAGTTGAGATGAAAGAGCTGTGATCGCAGTGTTGTCACAGTACATATGGCACTATCCATTAAACTAGATAGGGAACTGATTGAGGTTCTTACAGGAAAATGATATAGCGGAAAAGTGACGTGTTGCGGAATTAACCTCTAGTTTCACGAGTGTTGCGGAATTCCCAGATGTAGCCTATTTAAAAAAGATAGTTTTTCTTAGCCCTTTCCTCAGTCAGGCATGCATTTATCCTAAACTAAACCAGTGGCAAAGAAAGTGGAACACGATTTTTGCCGGGAATCCCCGATCCTTCGTATCCCATTGTGTAAGAAAGCAAGGGATGCTAAAAGGCATAATCCGAAATATTCAAATTCATCATTGTTCTTCAAAACCGAGCGTCAACCGTTTATCAACTGCAAATAGAAGCGTTAAAATGCGAACTCACTTCAATCTCCAGCTCGGTGAGGCAGCCACTGTGAGGGGAAAAAAAATGAAAATCGAGGATTGCATAATGACAAAAAAAAAGACCCAGAAATAAAAAGGAAAAAGGTAAAAACAAATTCACGAAGTCAGAAAGGAAAAAAAAAAAAGTGAAGACTTTAGCACCTAAGTCCGAATTGTTATCCTCATTTCCCAACAACGACATTTTGAGTCCCTTCGCTTTATTCTCCCCTGAGAAGGCGAGACCCATCCGGAGGACCCGACCACAAGCCGCCGCCGGTTTTCCCATACAGCGGACTGTCCGGAAGAACCGCCCAACGGGGTCGATCCGGTTCGGGGGGGCGGTTTGACGAGAACCACGGACTGACACGTGATTTTTACCCGCATGACTGCGTAGTGAATTCAGGCTTCCGACAAGGGCACGTCAGGCATTTCGGGGCAATTATGCTCTCCTCCGCTCGAGCACTCCAGGCTCATATGCATCCCCCTCACGTGAGCGGGCGCAAGTGAGAGTAGCTGGAAGCCGACAGACCCTGCTCACTTCCTCTCCCCTTCATTTTCACGTCAAAATAATTATCGCCAGTCATCAAGGCTATGGGGAAGCGATAAATACTGCTGGCTCGATCATACGGAACTCATCCCCCGAGGAGAAAGTTTTCCCCGGTCGACACGGTCTCATATTCATAATGGTCGCATTCAGCCGATGGAAACGCCGCGATAATCGATAATTATTATTGCAGAACGGTGAATAGATTATGTGAAAGCAGGGCCTCACATGTTTCATCATTCCCATTGCTCAATCTCGTCTATCGCAGTAGATCCGCAATGAAGGGTATTATCTACTCCAGAAACCAGTCAACTATCCGCGCACTCCAGTAACATTGCTTCAAGTGGTACTTCACTGGCTTCAGAGAAAACCAGTTGTAATCATAAGCCTAATGATAGACCAGTTAATTAGCTTTTCCCCCATGTCTCTTGGTATTCCAAGAACAATCTCAAACTCCGGCTAAAATGAATCCATAAAATAAGATTTATTGACTGGAAACATGTCACCACAGAAAGTCTGCAGAGTTATGAGACGCATTCTTTTTTTTTACAAGGAAAATTGCTGCTGAACAATCTTAATTTACCAGTTCATATTGGGAAATGCAGAGAAGGAAAAGCCTCTCACTTTTAATCACCTACGCCTGTTTAACTTCTTCGCTACCGAATTTCCCCCATAGATTCCTACCTCAAGACACTCAATTTCTCGCGTACCAATAATATAACGAAATGCTAGTGCATGTCAGTTCTATTTTAAAAGCATTTGCTACCTCACAGCTACTGAGAGAAACGCCAAGACCTTTTTGCATGAATACAAGGTGTCGTCAGAGGTAGAGTTGAATGTTCGCCATCGGGACTACACTATCGGCAATGGTAACGAAGGGTTTAAAAACAAGATTAAGAAGTAGTTAAACTAGAATCAGTTCATGTACTTTTAAAAGCAGTGACTTAACTTTAAAGCAGTGACGACTTGCCAACTGGCTTACCCCTCCCTCACGCCCAGATCGACATTCCCTGACACCCACCTGACGGCAGGGCTCCCGGAGATGGACGTCTCCTCGCTGGCCTTGGGGAGGCCCAGTTGGCGTATGTAGGAAGAGGGCAGACTCGGGAAGGCGTAGGAGGGACAGTGGTCCAGGGACACCTCGTGCGTCCCCGACACCTCGGGGCCCTTCCCGTTCGGCAGCTTTCCATCTTCCTCGTGCTCCCGTGCCGTGATTTCGTTCTGAAACCCAGCCAACACTCGCCATCAGAGATGATGGAGCTTTTGCTTCGTGGTATCGTTTCATGAGGTTCATGCAAATATTATTACTTCAGTATTATAAAGACGTGAATATCATTAACCATATTTAAAAATACGGCAAAAAAACTAATTGCAATATTAAACTTCAATATTTCCGTAATCGAACGCAACACATTTAATAAGCGCCTATCGTAATACCATGGTTATCAAAAGTAAGATTGATTTTAATTCTCAATTTTCTGAAAATGACGTCAGGTCAACCTAGCCAGGGAGCGTATAATAAATGAAAGTGAAAGGCGTAAAAGAGTAAAAATTTTAATTGGTACCATAAACATAATAAAAGGGCTAGAATATTCAGTTAAAGCCAATAGAACCACCAGACTCCGGAAACTCAGGCTCAATGTCAGAAGGTCAAACACTACCGCAGAAAAAACACCATTCTTAAATAACACTAGCAAAACTTCTTTGCCTCTCAAAGGTATCGGCTTCACGATAGTCATATCGCTTTCAGCCTTCATTAGTTCAGCATTCAAAGCAGTTACCTCTTCTTCCTGGCGATATGCTTATCACTCATGGAGCGGCATAAAAACCCAAAAGAGTAAGGGATAATTACATGCGTAACTAGGCGGCAGAAATGATAGGCTTGGAGGTACAGGGTGTTTCAACACAACCTGATAATATTTGGTGTCGGCTTATAACATTAAAAACCATAGCTATAATATCTTTTCAGGCGTATTTTCACCAGGAACAAAAAATTTCTCTCCCCCCCCCCCCCACACACAAACCAATACGTAAATTCCGAGATTCGCTCAGGTTTCCCTAAAATAGTCTCCTACAATACTAGTGACTGCATATGGCCCGCGATGGCTGTGGGAGTGAGTTATATGGTCCCCGAGCCGAAAAATTTGGGCACCATTGCTCTAACCCTTTCGTGCATGAATTTTCAAAGCAAAAATATCCTTCTTTTGATTTGACATTCAAGGAGGTACTCTGCCGTAGTGTTCGCATGTGTTAGAAGGCAACACTGAATAGATTATGTGCCCTGGAGTGGACTGCATGCACCAAAAGTTTCGAGATATGTATACCATGGCTGAAAAGCCATCATCAAAATTCATGGCCGTTCACTACAGTGCACATCATGCACGAAAGGGCTAAAGCTTGTCAGGATCTCCTTGTCATTCGCCCAGTGGTCAACAACACTTAAATGACACTTGAGTAGATTAATATCCTTTCTCGGATTGTTTTATACCTGGTCCGTCATAGTCTCCCAGAGAGAGATAGAGAGAGAGAGAAAACCTGATCGTGGGCCTGACCATGCCACCTTGTTATCAAATTAATAGTAGTCATCCATGAAACTCTTCCGCTATATGACAACGGTCAAGAGCCTTACTAACAATATAATCCTGCGAGCTGAATAGGACAAGACGAGCTCAAAAGGGACAAGCTCAAAAGCTCCTGCCTTTGGAGCTCGTCTCCGACTCCACCCGACTCCACCCTTCACTTCGGAGATCGCCGGATCTCCAAGACCAGGAGTCATTTCTTGGATGTCATTTAGTCCTCTCATTCGCACCAATGTATTCTGTAGAGAAGGCATCTCTCGTTCTACGTTATCATTATTACCATGTTTACTATTGTTCGAAAGTACCAAATACGTAATGATAAAAGAAGAAAAAAAAAGGAGGGGGGGGGGAAGGTCTGGCAAAGTAAAATATGCACTATTCTTATTTCAGCAAAGCACTCAGGAAGTCCGATCCTTGCAGTCCCCTTCATGCGGAAGAAAGATGATGAATAAAGAAGCTTTGTACTCAAAGGAATCTACACATATCGGCAAAAGCTTGGCGGACACTTTGCGATCCGTACTGCAGAAAATCAGCGCAGATCAAAACGCGTCAGAAGTTTTGAGTCACCCAAGGGAAAGGGAACTTTGCGAAAGATACGCGATAGCCAGCCTTGGCAGACGAAGGCCTATGGCACTCCGTCGGAATGATGCAGCAAATGAATGGTGCTGAATAAGAGTCATTGGGAGGGCATTTGACTCCCCATCCCTCCGGGGGGTCAAAGGAATTCACCTCCCACCCGAATGAGGAAGCAACACGCAACCCCCGTGATGCTGCACTAACTCCCCTTTCAAAACACGCCTCTACCTGGGTGTATCTCCACCATCTGCATCCTTTCGTTTCCCACTCCGCTCTCCATTATCGATGCAAGATGCTCCAACTCTCGTCCCGACAATATGAGAAAGAAATGGACACGTTGAGAAGCATGAAGACGGAAAAAGAAAGGCACGAGGATAATTCGATCCGGAAGAAGAAAGGAGGAGGTAGAAGGTGCCTGCAGGTCTAGGCGGCGATGATAGGGGAGAGAGGAGGTAATTAGGGCCGTCTTTTAGGATAGATGAGGCTGGGAATTGAACTTGCGACCCCTCGTCTTTGACGTGTCCCCCCCTCATCACAAGGATCTATTTGTCAACGCAAACAGATATCATTATCTATTACGAGGTAAGGAAAAAAAACTTTCGAAGGTCTTCCCTTTCGTCACCCAGTATACGAATCGACTTCTGCCTGGGATGGACATCAGAATCGAGAAGGTCGAACCCGAGGAATTCACAATATGCAATAATCCAGGCAATTTATACGATGCCACACCCTGGATTCGTTTCGTTTATTGTAATGGATGCGAGAGTAACGGAATTTTATTTCCAACTTTCAAATGGAATAGTTATTAAATACTAAAAAGAAAACTTTTAATTTGAAAAAAAAAGAGAAGTAGAGTTGGGACGGATTTACACAGACAATAACAAATGCCATAAGCGGCTGAACTTAAGAGTAAAGGAAGGGCGATCCTTATCGGACACCCCTGACAGCATTGCCACACCTTCCCACGCTCTCTACTTCTCAGCATCCCGTTTTCACGGGTCCGGGAACGTCCACGAGGCTGGAAATAAACCTTCCATCACTCCCCATCGAACGGTCAGTCAAGGGCCGATGCGGCAAGTACGATTGAGGCACACCATACCCCTACCCCTAACCCTCACACCATGCCTAAATCCAATTAGGAACAGGCATTACCCGACCGGATGAACTGTCAACCCAAACGAACAACCCCTGCCTCCCCTCGGATTCGAATCTGGACCTCTCGCATCTTACCCCAATACCCTAACCACTAAGCCACGACAAATTTCCAGATTCAAATTAGTTTTTACTCCCTGGGAACGCTTCACGACTTCGCATGTGCAACTGCTAATTACTTTCGCTGCCATATCCTAGGTAATTGCAGACGAAATGGTCAATTTGTTGTCTGTCCTACTCATGATAGACAGCAAATTATGAGTTCCAAAGAAGTGCAACATTTCAAATATATATCCTTCAGTACTCGCGAAATCCCTTTCGCACTGGAGTGTGAAGTGAAGCAACCATATAATTTTTGAGAACACGTCTAAGCGTAAAAGTGGTTCAGTACAGGCTCACCAAGTACTTCCCTCTTATAGTTTACGGGACCCATGCATTACGGGTTGGTTTCTTTTAGAATGACTCAAGAGTACTCACAAGTAGAGTCTCGATCTCTTCGGGTGCCTTCATTGGGATCCCTGAACCTGCATAGACAGAGAAAGAAAAAAAAACACCAATTCATCTAAAAGGACAGGTCCAGACTGATCAAAACGAAATCAGGGGCGTAACTTGGGAGGGGAGGCTCCTATAAAGTCAGATAAGAACTTCCAAGATGGCCTATTTTCATCGTTACATGCCGTACATAACTTGTCTGCTCTCGTTTCCACATCGTCAACGATCGGACAAAAGGGCGAATATGCAATTTTCAAATGTTTCTTGAAGAGCCGGGCTTCCCCATTCTTTCTGAAAAGAACAACTGAAGATTGTTCGCTTTTCCTCTACAGGGCTGGGACTCTCAGCCGTCTAGTGCCTAGTCGAACACTCATCCCAATTCTGCATTCCAAAACAGGTGAATTCTTGCCATCTTGAAAAGTCTAAATTCCATATTTGCCCTTTTCAGATCATCGACGATATTTATGCGAAATTTTACGTCATGCTTTTCGCAATCGTGAATCCATCTACAGTTCATCCAAAAATGTAATCGAAGACGCTAGTGCAAATATGAGGATTTGACACTGTTGCATTTGCATAAGTATCCATTTCTTTATTATATATATTGGATGAATTACACAGTGATATTGATGATGACAGAAAGGCTGTGGCAAAGTGAAAAAAACTCAGTTATGAAGAAATCATACAAAAATTCAGCAAAATTCTTTCGGTGGGATGAAAGGTATAAACACATAATTTAATTTCCACACATATTGTTTGCCTTTCACGGACCTTTCGTGTGTAGATGAGCTGCCTCAGACTCGCTGAATCCCTTAGGCAGTAAATCACTTCCATCAAAGCCCTGAAAAATAAGAAGCAGGGCTCATATAAGTCCGGAATGAGACAGATGACTTTACTTTCCCAAGGCTTATTGTGAAAGAACCAAAAGAAGTAGGGGAGCTTATCGATCGCCGCAGTCGTGCGTGATTAGTGCATGTTATTTACCATTCGCAGGAATCCTAATTAACGCCGGCACTTGATATGCATGAAGGCAGGGAAGATTCACACACTGGAAAATTGATGGCCGTAATTTTCTCCATAATAATGATACATTGCCGAGATTAACAGCAGATGCCTGTCTCCTCGGTCGAGGAATGTTTGCACGAAAAGCGGAGGGAGGTGGGGGGGGGGAGGGTCCGTCACATGAAAGGAGAATGCTCATCATTTGCAATACCTGAGAGGAGTTAAATGGGCATTATTATGCCGACAGTTGCTTGGTTTTTGAGTGGACACAACTCCTTCCCTTTAAGGGAATTAATTCCCAGCGATGAAATACAGTGCATAATTCAAGTATTTCATCAGCTCGTCACACCATTGGACAATGTCATTGCGCACAAGATGAGGTATCCTAGGTATTTAATTATTTAGGTATCTAAAATGAGATATCCGGAATGAGGTATCGTCCAGTCCGAAAGTCACGGTAGGGGAGAGGACCGGGGGGGATCCATATGGAACCTGACTAGGGAGAAAAACGGAACCGATCCAGCGAACGCGACTTCTTGTCTCGTGTCGTCAAGCCATCTCACAATCACAAGGGATATCTAATTCCACCTCCTCGCTTTAGTAAATGAGATTTGCGCAGAATTAGACACACCAATAAAACTGACGTGCGCCTTTGTATTGACTCCAATTGCTCGTGCGACGGGAATAACTACTTTCGGAATGAGCCAAGCACGAAAATCTCCTTTGAAAAGAATCCCATGTCAAATGCGAGCGAGGGGATAGGGATCATGGGAATGAACGTGATGGCAGGAAGGGATCACACGATAAGGAAGCAGCCCACGCTGCTGACCCGCGGGGGTCAAATCCCTACCCTGCACCTTCATATATAGATATTACATGTGGGATACGACTGTATCACTGCTCTTCGTGGGGTCCAGAGGGGAAGAGCTGGAGTCGTGCGTCTCTCTCTATACTTTCCACGGCGCAATTATGGACCGAGTTCTTCTTTCATCTTCCAGTATTCCACACACCTCTTGGCACGATTTCGGAGGGATAATAACAAAGACTGGTAAGAAGGGACCTTCGTTCAGCTTAAAGCAAGGGAGGCTGAGATGCAACATATCTATACAGTATTTTCTTCATCATAAGGTGACTCCGCTTCCCACTACTCGAGGAGCAGTGAAACATGAATGAAATACCACACCTTCAAAGTACGAATGCCATCACGTTATACATAAAGCAAGCAGATGGATAAAATCTGACAAGGATATTATAGCACCAAATCCCTTATATACACATAGGTATATATCAAGTTCTCAGATCCACTCATTGAAACGGCTGTAAAATAATTCACATTATATTGCGGCAAAGTCGTTCGCAGACCCCGGGTAATGTATGTAACAACTCACTCTCTAGCATCAATGGACTCCGTTGAGTCCATGTAAATAGTTACAGCATCTCATCTGAAATACTGTAACTATTCATCACAACTATCTCATCAGAGATATACCCGATCATACAGGGCCGCAGAGAAAAAAATCCCGCCATTATATCGCCTGCTGTCATGCAGATGAGACTCTTTAGTCGTTTGCTATTCCTGACCGAACCCCTCCCCTTCGATTTAAGCGGTCACCTTGCCTACGTCAATAACCCCTCATGATATGGGTACCATTTATAAGCATTTGTTCGTGAGGAATGTCTTTGTCATCAAGCCTTTGCGAGACGTGCCTCCACAGGCCAGCCTCCCACCTTCTGCAGCCGATTTCCATTCTTCGACTTCGGAGTGGTCTCAGCTCAATCCCGACTATACATCCGACAGGTGTTCCGAGTCTATCCGGCAGCAAAAGGCGCACTTGCTCCGGAACAAAAGATTTGATGGATGGGGTGATGAAAGACGGACAGTCAAAGAGAGCAATATACAGGGTGTCCATAAAGTGACTGCGGGCAACTTTATCATAACTGAATCTGAGATAACCATATTTTGTGCGCGTAGACTGACCACATGTAGACCTCAGAACGATGTCCGATCTTTCCTAATTCCATTTTAGTGTGACAGAATTGATTTCTCTGCTCCATGTTTGGGTGAAAGCTAGCCGACATGGTGCTTCAGCACGTCCTCCATATCAACACATCAAAATTCAAAGGGCATGTTCCTCGGCGTCCCATTTGTGAACAGACGGATTTCATAAAACGGCGATAATATTGAATCGCATATTCCTCAAAAGAAGGAGAACCCCATTATGGTCATCCGAAAATATCTGCTCCTGGTTGCAAGGCGTGCAGCGACTCCTAAGCCCTGAAAGTTCTCAAATACGTGAAAGAAAAAAAAAAGATTATCAGTCACAAAAAGTGAAAGGAGAAAAGATGTGACAAGATTCCAAGGATTACAGATGCTCAGTCTACCCAAATTAAATAACTGGTTGTTTCAGACTCAATAGTTAAAGTTGCTCATAGTCACTTTCTGGACCACCTGTATTTCAGGCCTCTGGTGTGTCATCGGGGTTCAAAGGGTTTATGTTTCAATGTTGTCAGATTAATAGGATACTCTGTCAGCGGAGAAAAACGTTTGAGATAGCCCTTTGCAATATGTGGCGTCCTTTTTTTCTCTTTTGAATTTCTCTCACCTTCGTCATGAGCATCATTACCGTCGCCACAGTTGGCATCATTACCATCGTCATCATCAGGCTCACCATCATCGAATCTTCTCACCCTCCTGCCCTCCCCCCACCTATTCCCTTTCCCTTTGCTCTTCTCTTCCATGGTTGCCTTGATATGGAAAGAAGAAATAAAGACATTCTAATTCCGGCTCTAAAAGAAAACTTTCTCCATCCAATATTACCGAGAGTGAGAAGATTAAGAGAAGAAGAAGGGAAAAAGAATCTTCTCTTCTAAGAAGAGAAGATTGAGTGGTATTTCACGATCGAGGCCTCTTTGACCTACCACATCGAAGCCGCAAGAGTAGCTTTTGAGATCGGATAAACCATAGCTTTGCTTTTCAGGGAGCGTCGTCGCTCCCTGAAAGTATGTGTTCTGCCTTTGAAGTCTCGTTCTCGGCCACGATCGATCCAAGGGCGCTTCTACCTTCGTGTCAAACACCTTCGAGGAGAGGGTCTAGTGCGCCACTGAATGCTCACCTGGTTCCCCTCCCTTTCCCCAACAGAGCACTCTCCGTTGATCGACACTGTCACTCATGAGGCCCTGCAGCAGTCGCGACCGCAGCAGTCCTCGCCGTCACTTAGTTCAACCGCAAGAGACCTGCTATCAATCCTCGTTCCTTGGAAAATCCTCTAATGAGCTCTCGTCTTACTCCCGTTTCAACAAACTCCTGCAGTTGGATGCATTTTTTTTTAATTAACTCAAGCTGACCATCGTAGCTCGAATTGATTTGAAGCCAAACAGTCATTGTGAACAATTATCACCGTGAAACTGTGACTGACCAGAACCTGGCGTCTTTTAGTACTTCCTGGGTCAACTCTTATTACTCCCACGCCAAAAGGTCACACGCTGTCAAGCAACAATCTGCATTCCATGACTCTTCTGCATGAACGCCCAGAAGCATTAAGCAGCTGAAATTTCACACCTACTACAATTGATGCTACTTCGACGCCTAAACGATCGAAACTTGCATCTCGACTAAAGCTCATGACAACATTTTTTTCGCAAAAAGAAGCCAAGCATATCCCAGACCCCTTTTCTCCCTTTTCATCGAAACAAACTGAGATGAACGCAGAAAGAACCCAGACAGAATTTTTTTCCGTGCGATTTTTTTTATTTCTTCACTACACCGATCTGCGGGAGGGTGAACATTTCTCACGTGACCTACAGGGGCCATTACCACACAGGTAATGGGTTCCTGTAGATCACGTGAGCCAGAGGAAGTAAAGGGATCTGAGCACTAGAGAGAGAGAGAAGTTGAACCGATGTTATAGGTACGAGCAAGATTTCCCCCTACGTAGAGGGGAATGCAATTTGTCCTTGTTCCAATGTTGACCAGTGGAGCCAAACAAAAGGGATCGGGTTATAACTCTTAAGTGGCATCACAAATGCATCGACTGTAGCTTAGAGGCAAACAAAATATCACGTAAGACTATTCGTCGGGGCCACTTGGAATTCAAAGATTGGCTGAGACAAAATGGAGGAGAGAGAAGAGGAAAAAGTGAAGGGGTAGAATACGATGATGCTGATCACTTTTAATACATTTCCTTATTGTGTCAGTATATCATTCTGCTTCCACTTTCGTTGTACGAAGATGATAACTGCTCTAATCGCATCGAAAATGGGTAGGTAGACACACAGGTCGAGCTTGTTATTGAAGCTTTCAAATTCATGTTCTGTATTAGTTTGGGCTAAAAAAAAAATAATACATTAACGTTCATTTAAAGATCTGCTTTGACTGACAACCCAGGTACCGATGCATGTGCAATCAGTCGAAGCAGAATAGATATTAAAAAAAAAACACTATCTCCCGCGTCCTCGCCAGGCTCAGCATTACCCTCCACTCTACTTCCATCTCTCGTTTCCTTCAAAGTCCCTCCTGGCCCAGCACTACCTCTGCACTACTACCATCCTGCCTCAAGCATTCCAAAGACATTAACGCTGAGACAAACAGAAAGTGATAGAGAAATGAACGATGGGTTCGCATTTCTTTTCATCAGCTCATTGTCCATTTGAGAAATACTTGTTAAAAGGAAGCCTCTTTCTTGTATACATGCTCTCTACTACCCTGGACTTACCTATCCTGACTTTTTCAAGTAGCTACACGATATCACGTCAGACTTGTTTCATGAGTTTGGGAGTAGGAGTATTTATTAGTCCCCTTATCTCTTATCCCTTCAATAGATACATTCGTATGGTACTCAACACGTTATCAAAAGCCAGATAAAACCCAAATGTATCCTGAGTGCAAAGAGAAACCTGTGCAGGTGATAAAAGAAGCAGAGGTAATATTTAAAAAAAGGTATGCTATGTCTAGTCATGTCGACATGTCCGGACAGAAGCACTCGCCCGTAGTCGTATTGCGTCTATCAACAAGCCACATTGACGATTGGAATCGATGCCCCCCCCCCCCGGACGGGTGACTTGAGCGCCTCCAACGACTCCTCGCCGGAACAAATTAGTTCAGTGCATGACTTCCGGCAGGGCCATTGTTAAGGTTAGGCGATTTGTTGCAGTTAACCTTGAGTAAAAACAATTTCATATCTCACTTAGGCCCCATCCTTCTGAAAATATTATGGCCTGGGCAATCAACTCTTAGAAAAGATACTCGAGTTGACTACTCTCGATACATTCCTTGAGATACTTGAGATGAGATCCTCTTATAAGCGGCATAAGTACGCTAAAGTGGATGAGGCTTTTAGATTCTCAGAAGCGGCATGTAGTTAGGGTTGACTGGAGGCCTCAAAAGGCTGGAAACTGAATCTCATCTTTCCTCCCCCGCTGGTTTTCAGGTCAGCTGCGGGAGAAATGTCCAGTTCCATCAAAGCGGTTCCAAAATTCACCGCGACCTTCACCTGCTAATAGACGATCACACTATTAGCAGGTGTGCTACTGCTCGTTCTCAGTAGAATATACACCATCGTGTCCAGAGAACACAGAGTTCAGGTTTTAATACCTTGTACCACGAGTTATCAGTGTTGCCATAAGCGACATGGTGGAATTCCAGTTTTTTATCACATACGTCAGGCGAAAGATAATTTCTTTTTATTTTTATGCTTCAAAATCCCCGTTCACTAGGGGGCTCCAATTGTACTTTCACTGAGAGACGCGGACAGTGTAGCATCAAATCAAGACACTTATTTCCCACAGTCGTCCCCGAAAAGGAAAAGTTCTCCGGCGATAAATGGCTCTTTACAACCAGCATGGACCAGCAGACGGCGCCTGTCGATCTAAATGCGCTCAATGCTTGGGAAAATGCCCCTAACCACAGCACGTCAAGACAATTCGGAACACGCCTCTACAGTCTGAATGAGGATGCAGAATGCATTCGGTACGGAGCTAAAAAAAAAAAAAAAATCCGCTCCACGCCCTCCACGCATATACAGATGCAAAGTGGACGAACGAAGCGAAGAGGAGAATCTTCGCACTCACAAAAGAAGAGCGCCCCATTAAAAGAAAATCTGATCTGGCCATCTGAAGACGCAGGCCCGTTCGCGTGGGCGCCATCAATGCGGGGGAGGGGGGGAAATGACACACATGCACACACCGACACACGGTGTGTGTCCGTGCATGTGTTCGTGCATATCCATGAGGGGGCGCCTGAGTCAGCAAATGGACCCCGCGGAGGCCGCTCACAACACCCCAGGGGCAATCCAAAAACGACTCCGAGCTGTCCCCCTTCCGTACGGAATCTTCGCTCTCTTTTTTTTTTTCCTTCCCATTGATTGACCATTGTCTCTTCGACTCAAATGGACCGGGGGACCTCCATTGTTCCGCTTTGCATCTCAATCGTAGAAACAGCGATGCTGAGGGGCACTGCGTTTCAGTCGGTTCCAGTTCATTCCGCCCCTATTGAAATGAATATAATGAATGGACCCCTGCGTTTCCACATTCTCCACGTGGAATAAAATCGAAGTTTTACGAAGTTTTACGAAAATCGAAGTTTACTTCCACGAGCCCCAAAATCTGATAGCCCTAGAAGCTCCCACACATTACAAAAGAAAATTATTATTCACGTCTCATTTTCCCTTGTTCTTCAACACGAAGACATAACTTTCCATTTATTTAATATTTATTAATTAATAATCTTCCAATATTAAAATTGTTTTCAGAAATGCTCAACAAATATCCGCGTCCTTTCTTCCGGAATCTAAACCTGAAGTAAGTCCACCACGTCTCGTTAACTTCGAAAGAAAAAATTCCCTCGCACGGTAGCTGACCTCCCATGCATCCAACAGAGACAGTCCACCCACACTGGATTATGATTCACGAGTACAGCCAAAATCCCTTCCGATTCTTGACACTAATGCGACATTTATCTTGGTCTCCAAGCGGTGCTTACAACAAGAACTTCCTGCGTTTTCTCTCACGGAAAAGTGGGACTCTCCGCGTTTCACTGGTATCTCGAAGAGTCCGTGAAGTTGTGAAATGATGGCAATTGACTTGCAATACAAGAGAGTAACGAAAATTATTCAAGCTCCACTCTGTACACATGACTGCAGTCAGGTACTAGACAAGTACAAATGGTTCTGTCAGGAGACAGACCCATATAGAGTAATTATTGATACATGCAATGATAATAAGTACAGAAACCCTGTCACTTCTCACACAACGGCCACTTAGAAAAATCTGAATGTCTTGTGTTACTCCGACCAGTTGCAATATACGGAAGAAACTGAGTGCCTGAAGGAAGTCATATCCAAGCCGGAGCGTTCGATGCATACTGAGCCAGGAGAAATCAACGGACCATGAAGCCTTCCATATTGTCTGGACCCGACCGTCTGCAAAGCCTGAAAGTGGCTTCAGGTCAGGTTCCCCCACGTGCAGCACACCATTAAACCCCACGCTTACTAGACACTTTCCTACTCTTACTTTTTTTTGTTTTAGCTTGAAGCTTCTCTAAGGAAAATGGAAAATTTCAATAAGATGTTTTCTCGGAGTTTGTTAATCTTCCACCATTTGGTTCATCGTGGTCGGAATTACAGGTATCTCGGAGTGATATTGCCCCGAAATTGAGAAACTCCTAGGGTCGGCAGACACTTGGAGAGGCAAACAACTGGACGATAGCACAAAGAGGTTCGTTGACTTGATGAATCACTTGACTTTTACCCGGTTCGCCGGTCAAGGGGAGTCAAGAGGTGGTCATACCGATCCTCGTCAAACAAGCTGATTCAACCTGTACTATCAATAAGAAATGTGTTGAAATTTCAGAAACTGAGATCGTTCAACATAAAATGCATGCGGGAAAAAGTTACGTGCATGACAATATAGGATACTGCTTGCTCATGAGAAGGCTATCTCCCCCTTCTAGAGCATAAGTCTTGGAATGAATCCAAGGAGAAGGACCCCACATCGGAACACGTCCTCACATTACGGCAGGCAGACCATAGAAACTCAAAGGACCCCGAAATATAGTACTAATCCAATGGACGTGATAGAATGAGCTATAGGCGAACGTGAATGTCCTACGGACCCCTAGATGACAGAGACATATGTTTACGACCTCTGGAACTAGACGAATTATGATGCAACCCGTTTCCACCGACTCGTCCCCGCCCTCACGATTGTGATCTGGGTTCGAGAATCTCGGCACTGGGCACACGATTGGCTGCTCACCAGTTCTTACGATCGTGGGGATATTCCAATTCGGGAAACGGGTTCGATAAAGTAATGTGCCAGCCTTTCTCCACCGGTACAACACGGTTCGACCTAGTACCTTGCTTGGTGAATACACGATCAGACGTGATCTCAAATTCAATCGCAAGCTTTCCTTTTGAATTATGATCCATACGCTATGCAGAGCTCCGTGAAATTATGCCGGAACAAAAGGGGCTCGCGGAGATAAATCAGGAAGGACTGGCAACAGGAGCATCGTGAGGAAAAAGAGGCGATCACCCCGGCGTCCGCTTTCATATGAACGTCCCGTTCGGCGTACAGACTCATTACTGGCGTCCATATCTCATTTGCGGGGACAGATTGCTCTTCTCGCATGCAAGCAAGCGATCATGCAGATGTTAGAACGCATCCAGATGCTCTCCTCGCGGAGTGTCCTTGCACCGCAGTTGCGCAGAAAGATGTGACGGAATCCAGGTATGGTCTACGACCGACCACTCTCGCCTACTAAAGCGGTGAACATTGTGCTTCCCCCCCTCCTCCTCCTCCTCCCCCCTCATTCCTTCCTCTGTGGAAACCACCTTCGCATCGCATGATTTCTTCTTCCAGAAAAAAAATACCTTCCAATGATGCAATGCGAAGGCAAGCTCTTGCCTTTCGTAGGGGATCAACAGATAGACGAATTTATTACTCGGGGAGAGAATCGATTATCCATCGTCCCCTCAGCTACTTGCCCAAATCACACCCTAATTGCCAATATTTGCCCAAATCACACTCTAATCTCCGACAGACAAGGAATCTAGGGCTTGTACACGAAGAAGCTCGCTTTTGTTACAAGTTGCATTCTACCCATAAGTCATTCCATAAGAATGATTACGCACTGTCGCAAACAACTTATACCTTCTTGAGGCCTCTAGACAGTGTTACTAAGCTACCCCATGGGGTTACGGTATGAGAAAACAATGCTCTTAATTACAGGGATGCGACGAAATATGCAGGAGTCTCTCATTCAAATAAACTTACAATGAAAAAATCCCAGAAGAAAAAAAAATCCATGGGACATCATGACAAGCCACAATTATGAGACCAAGAGAGCCAGTCTTTTCATGGAGGGGACAAAAAAAAATCGCACGCATGTTAGCAACTTTTGTTTCTGCACCATCAGCCTCCAATACCATTACAATGAAGACACCATACGAGAGAAATGAGAAGATGACTCACCGTGGCGACGGTGAAGAGTCCAGTCTTCCGGGTGCGACCAAGGGACTGAGACTGGGACTGGGGCTGTGGGACACTGGACGTCGGGTCCTCCTCGTCACGACTCCGGCTTGCCATCCAAACACCACAAGTCACCACACATCCCACATGTCACAACCACGTTCGCATTCAAATGGGTCGCTTTTGGATCATGCACTGCGGTACACCTCAAGACAACGGCTTCACGACTACTATCCACGGCCGAGTTCATTGTATTTGGAAAGACCACAAGGCTTATCAGAGTCCTGAAAGCGAGGCATGATTTCATGCAAGATACGCTCGTCAAAAAATGAACAAGACGACGGGGTGTCACGCAGACATGCAGTGCACGCCCTCGACACAGACGCGTGCAGGCACGACACGGGTCGTCTTTCGTACCCCCCTCGTACGACCCTCACAAAAAACACACAATGCCGGAATGGAAGCGGGACGTCCACATGCGAGTCGGGACGGCCACAGAGAGCACTGGCTGCTCCTCGCACCCGACCGGGACTGCTCCACACCACCGCTGCACTCGACTTATATGCGAGCCCCTTGCCCTCACGCCACGCACATTACGACCGATTTCATATCGCCATGCTCCATAAAACTCACTTTACACCTCACAGCTCGCTTCCTTATTCTCGTCGGTCTCTCTGTGACCGTGGAAGGCACAGGAAAGTCGCTATTTAATTTTTTTTCAGATAAATTCTTCCGGGGGGAGAAAAAGTAGAAGCGCTCGATATAACCATAACGACAAGCATAAGCGTAAATAAGGTAGGCATAAGTAGCCAGGTGGATTCGTGATATGCTCAGTCGGCGACATAGACGAGGACCTCATGTAAAATGCGAGATCATATCAGCGACGCGGGAGAGGAGAGCGACGGGGAGAGAACCACTTTCTCGCCGTGGTGGCAGATCGTTTCCATTTCCACCACTCACTCTCACTGGTGTATGAGAGGGGCCGTTGTCCCCCTTCGATGAACTTTCCTTCCTTCTCCCCTCACGAGTCGAGTTCCCTATGCAACCAGGTCGGAATGTCGCTCTCGAGGGTACAGCCACGGTGATTTTTTTCCTTCCTCACCCTGAATGCTCAAAAAGTCAGCCACCTCCACGAGGGGTCTCCCTTTCGGTTTTCGTAATTTATTTCATACCCATAGCTTAGTGGGTCACATTGGAAAATCTGGAACAGCGTTGTAACGTCGATCGTTGCCTACAACTGTCAATACCACGAAAAAGTATCCCGGAAGCGAATCAATACGAAGGCTCAGAGCTATCTCATATAAACCGTTATCAGTTAAACTGGAATCCTTATCGAAGTCACGGACCACTCGGTCATACAGCATGACGTCATTAGGGCTGTAGAGAACGAAAAGGAAAGTGCACTAGGGAAGTACCCCTGCCATAACTTTCGCGACAAGTACCGAAATGAACCTCTATCAATCCCCACCTAGTTGGTGACAAAGCGTGCCATCTGGCAACCCATGTATTACTGCGGGAACGAGATGTAATAAAACTGTCCACCTCACCTGAAAATCCCGTGGGTGTCTCCTCCGCCTGGGGGATCTCCAGCACCACTCTGCAACACCCGTAAACACCCGATTCAACGTAAAGAAAAATATACAGGTAAGGCACATCCAAAAATGTCGTTTAAGAGCTTTCCGAGAAAGGAGAGATGAATTTCTAAGAGAGAAGAGACCCATCCCACTTGGGCACGCATGTCACATAGGATAGCGGAGGCGAGAGTCACATCTGCGTCCCAAATAGTCTGATGAGATTTAGAGATCATGTCACAATGATTTTTCCAGTCTGCACCACTTTCAGTCATTTTCTGCACTTTTTAAAACTTATATAATGCTCAAAAGAGAATGAGGATGATCCTCATAGACCACGTAATGGCGTGTGACACCACAGCGAACCTTATTCACGATACGCATCAATCCCTGAGACTCAGAGATGGACCTCGCTTTTCTTTTTGTCTACGGAATATATGCAAAGTCTCCGCACGACGAGCAAACTCTCCAGCCATCACTTGAGCTGAAATGGTTGACACGACATTTCCCGTCGACGAGGCACGACCCCCCCTTACGGGGATTATTATTCATCGATACCCTGTCCAAGCGCATAACACAGGCTCAGTCACGCCTTGGCGTGGCCCGCAGGACGAGCCCGGGAAACAACATCATCATGGATGGATATCACGATCGCCTCCAACCCCGAACGAGAGAGATTGATGAATGGCTTCGTCACCCACGACGGGAAAGGCCTCCGTCACCTCCCCCGAGATGAATGATCCGATCGTGATTCCACCGGCATCCACCGTGACCTGTCGGAAAAACGCTGGCCTAATAAGGGCCTAGGCCTCCTCTTAACCCATTACTCAGGAGAGGAAAAACCTCTCTCAGCCGAGGAACCTGGGCGTGGATCTGTCGGCCCGGCAAGATGCATATCGTGGACTCCACGCCGAGAGTCCGGAAGGATATTCCCAGACATAATCTAAGAGCTGGGTCTTACAGAAGTGATTTATACCGGAGATACGCTTCACGTTTGCAATCACTGTCATTCTCGTCGGTGTTTAACCTTTCGTGAGGTACTACGCCCCTCGGTTCCGTATGAATCAAAATACCACCAGTCCTCCAGCAAATGCCATTTAAAATAAACGAAAGAAGGAACCATTCGCCTCTCGTGAAATTCGATTCCTGCAGCTAGTCACTTAAGAGTTGGGGCTACTCTGAGGGCCCTCCCCTCAACGCACCGCATCCCCCTAAAAAGAAAGATAAAAACTACTCCTCCATAAGAACGGAGTTTCATAAGAGCCCATTGCTTCCCTAACACATCTACGGATGGTAGCAGGAATGACAGAAATCCGAAGCATGAAAATGCGGAGGATTATGACTATGAGAGGGCATGCCATCGCCTCCAGCGCTTCATATCGTTCATCAGTTCCGCATCGAGAAGACAATAAAACGCGCAGCAATAATCAAGGAACGTCAACCACATTCGACGTGGATTCCGATCTTCCACTCGAATAGAATCCGCTCGATTCTAAGGGATCAAAGGGCATGCACGGCCAAAGGCCAATTGCGTGCTTGGGGCTGCCATACCAGCTCCAGGCACGTGATTGGCAACAGTCTATTCCGGATGAGCCAACAGTTTGCATTGCATTACAAAAGAGGAATGAAGAATGGAACTAAAGTTTTAATGCTTCCTTAACTACTTCTCTTTTTTTTCTAACACCCAGTTGACCGATATTTGTTAAAAACCCGAACTTCACTACTTACACTGAACTCTACGGATTAATTTGGCAGCAATTCATTATTCGGAAGAGGCAGTACTTCGAGAAAATTACGTTTCGCCTCTTTCAACTTAGAGCCAGCTGGTCACCTGGTGGGTGAAGAAAAACGACACGAAAGTATGAGTAGAAAAATGTACATTCCTAACGACGCGAGTACAGTTGTTTCGATCTCCAAGTATGACGGGGAAGACAAAGAAGCCGGATCAATAAGAAATAAGATGAAATGAGAGGTACAGACTACGGTGTGGACCTTAGGAGAGCCCAGTAAAAGGAACTCGTGCACGATAATTTTAAAGAAATGCCAAAAGTGATATGGGGAACCTGTACTTTCACCAAATCTCACCATGGATATCTGAACTGTTGTCTTTTCATTCAATCTTGAAAATATGTACTGATTCCTAAGCATCCGTATAATACATGCGAAAAGTAGAAGACAGAGCCCGAAACACGACCGAAGGATATGACCTTACCGGGAAGCAGCCGACGTCAGAGGAAGCAAGGGGCAGTACAGCGAAGGGCGTGCAGGCAAGATGTGCGTCCTCAATGTCTGTCATGTCGTCGTCGTGCGGGGACAAGAAATGACAAAGGAAACAGGAAGCCACAGTGACAGGATGCGGGCAGGTATACATGACATGCGACAACGTGTGAGTCACCTCACTCTCAGTAAATCAAACTTCACTCACACCAATTGACATGACAGATGAATTACCAGTATATACGAGAAATCAGAGGGTACGAGGAAAACAAGGCTGGACTAGGAGTTACGATCTTTCGTACTTCCAAGATGTGCGACAGAGAGGGGTTAAATGCAAATAATGGGAGAGGAATGCATAAGGATTCATGGACTCACCTGTCTGAGTTCCTACGTTTCGGCACCACGGGAAAATAGGTGGGAATCCCCTGAAACAAACCGTGATACATTTCATGATTGGAATTGGAATCTTGAAACTACGCCTAATCAAATCCCAAATTCTAAATTTCATACACGACGTCTCTCCGGATCATGCCCAAGAAGGAAATAAATTTTCAGGAGCGAATATTAATTTCGAAGGAAACTAACCCCAGAACTGCGACCCAAGCAACTATGTCAGCAACTTATGACTTCAGCGTTCTCAATGGTGAATGCTGATTTGAGCTTTGAGGTGCACTTGAGAACAGATCGACACCAGAAAAGCTCATGCTTAAGTCTCTCAACAATTGCTGGAGCTTTCAGGAAGAATGATGAGAAAATCGTGGAGTGTGGTCCCGCGATCCATCAAAAATGGGAGTACCCTAGGTAGCAATCAAGCCGTTGAAACGTGATCCATCTAACACGTACAGTGGGACGCATGCGCCCGTAACACACGTAAGAGTACTATCTGATACAGTTAGGGACGGTTCTGCTTCTTGCGCGGAATTTTTCGTCAATCTCATACGCAGCCTAGTTTTCCCCTCGTCTCCTCCAGAGCAATCGGCTAGAACTGAATGCCAAACCGCACCAGACGGATCCTCTCAGCAGTGTGCCGCTATGCTATGCATTCTTCCTCGCTCAACTCCACGCTGCAGTGTGTCCTCCTCCTGTCCCCATCATTCCTCATTAGATCCTGCCCTTCCCTCGCATCCATCATCACGCCTGTGGGATCTTGACCTCCGAGGTCCTGACCCCCATCCCCTCTTCCTCTTCCTCTCCCTCTCTCTCTCTCTCCTCTTATATATATACGCGTCGGCTTATACCACGTGCGGTGTGCCGTACCCGTTACGCCGTTCCTCATGCGACGACGAGATGCGGCGTTGCGACACAAATCCCTCTCTTCTCTCTCCTTTCATTAACGGTCATCCATTTTCATTTCGTATGCGGGGCCGAGACCTTGTCAACAGCATCACCCAACCGTGAGATATGGGTATTGTCCAACGAAGTGAGTCACGGGTGTTTATGAGACCTGCGACGCCTACGAGACGCATAAAATATAGGAGAAAAATTGGGAAACCCCTTAGAGAGGAAAATCGTCAGGAAAAGAAACTCCCGCTGGGAATACGATGGAGCCTGCGGTCAGGACAGAGCTCCACTTCAATGGCATGTAAGGCTGGAAATGCAAATCCATGCGTGACAGAGAATGACAAAGAAGAGCGGCCACCCGAAATTAGCATGGGATAAGGATTAAAGGGAATGGGAAAGGGAGCCGAGCCTGCATTACGACCGCATCCGTGATACTCATCTGTGGTCGGGAGATATTTTCTTTCCC